TTTTTTTTTTTTTTTTTTGATTTTTTTTTTTTTGTTTGGAAAGCCGGGGCCGGGGGTGCCGACCCCCGACCCCCGGGTCCGGGGGTCGACAACCCTGACCTTATCCTTGGAAAAGGTACGGGTGGAGAGCGGAGAGATCATCGAACAAATACAACAACAAATTCACCTGGACCTTACCCGCAGATGGTTAGACACTAAACGGCAGCTAGACCTCCTTCTACAGGCCGGGAACGTCAGAAGAAAGATCGTAGAATTCTGCAAAAACTGGGTTGGGGGGAAAAGAGAGGGATGGATAGCAAAGGTGATATGGAGCGGGGATCAGGGAGAAGGGACGAGGGATCTGGAGGGGATGAGAGACTATAGGTTAGTTTTCAAAGACTGGACCTGTATAGAGCCCACTTTCCCATTACGCCCTCCCACGGATTTCCTAGACCCATTCCCCCCCAATGCCCTGGCCCTGGCAGAGTTGTGGTCTTGATCCTCATATCCCTCTCAATTGCCCTCTTACCCCCCACTGACACCCTTAAGGAACCCCTCCTCAGTGCCCCCTGGGGAGGACCTCAAAAAAAAATAAAAATAATAATAATAATAAAAAAAAAATCAGCAGCCACGGGCAGTCAGCAGACGGAGATGGAGTAAGCAGCCGGCGACAGTTCATCACAGAACAACCGGCATTGGGAGTCAGCAGGCGGGCTAGGGAGCAGACAACTGGTGACAGTATTAGTCCTTGAAATTCCAATCTGGCGCCCTCCCCTTTGTGGGTGAAGAGATACAAAGGCAGTATCTGCTTTTTGCTCAGTTAATCCCCTGATCAGGCGAGGCTTTACAAGAAAAATCGGGAAGTGGTACGGGTCTGCTCAGTGTATCAAGGGATCTAGGGTTTACCCAGGTCTGGTACTCAGGTTGTACTCAGTTTTCAAGGAGGATGAGAGGAACTAGTGCTTTTGCAATGGACATCCGGCGCCTGGTACTGGGGCGAAGAGGTTCTCTCCCCTCCCTTAGCAACCTACACAGTCAATCCTCTGGTTACCAGAGTAATCAATGCTGGCAGGGTGCACAGCTATCTCCTCTGATTCAGCCTATTCTCATTTTTATAATTCAATCTGCAATGGGACGCTGAAAAAAGAAAAAAGAAAAAAAAAAGAGGTCATTGGAGGTTTTGGAAATTATGGGGACCTGCCAGCATTGATTGCCCTGAGACTCAGGGGATTGACTGCGCAGGGTCTGTATCTTTAGGTGAACAGTAGACGTCCGTAGCCTGAGAGAACCCAAAAACAACAGACAAAGACACAAAATGCCATCTTGGATCCGGGGGACACCGGGCCTCCTGGCTGTCTCCCTGCCTTCCGGCCGTCAGCTGTTGCCTATGACTGCACTGTCTGAACTCGTGTTTGGAAAAAACTTAGACTCGCCTGAACAAAGTTGCTGAGGTGCGAAAGAGAAAGGGACTCTGATGGCACTTCAGCGGTCCCACGGACATTCTTCCAGGTTTTGCCACTTTCAAATTTCAGCCCCGCTAGAAGTCCACAAAGCTGTTTTTTTTTGCAGTTTCTAAGGGCGGTCAGCCAGGACCTGGAGTGCCCTGTTATTCCAGGGAATTCATCTTTTTTTTTTCCTTTTCTAATGACTAGGCCGGAAGGGGATCCTGGTCCTTCCGGTTAGATGCAAGAATGGAACGTGGGAGGCGGGCCTGGTAGAGTCCCTGGGGGCCATACATGGCGAAGTGACCATTTGGGGCACACACTCGTGTTTTATTCATCCATATACTCCCCAGGCCAGCTCCTTGCGGGAGAAAGACATTCTGGAATTTATTCAGGAGCATCTGCCTCACGGTGGAACTGCAGCCCTGTGCCTCGAAAACGAGGACCGCAGGGCTGCAGAGCTGGACGTTTATGTGCGTTATGACCTGGCTGCGCAAGACGGCCTCAGATGGCTTTCTCATATGGCACTATGCGAGATGCAGCAGTTGAAGGTAA